GATGATGAAATTATTCCTGCCGCTGACGCTGACTCATTGTATGACAAATGGTGTGGCGAAGGTGCGGCAATTGAATATCACCAAGATCAAATTGGAGAACATGTGACCCAAGCTGTTGCTGGTGCCGGAATTGCCTTCGGTTGGCTTAAGAGAAGATTTGCAGGTGCTACAGTCCTGAGTACCTGTAAGAAGACTGAATCTTTTTCCAACTTTTTGAGTTTTGACTCTTTCGCAAATTTTGCTGAAATTATTGGTGATGCTCTTGCCACCATTCATGGGCAAAACATTGGTCCAAGAATCCAAGCATCTTCATCCTTGATTTCTAACACCACTGCTACCCACAGCTCATCTAGATCATCTAGCACTTCTACTGTCGTTGCCTCTAAGACAAGCTCTAATGCCACTTCGACTGCTACATCCAGCTCATTATTGGGCTCTCTCATCGGTCTTATCTTCTAGATAAAACCACAACAATGGGTTCAAAACGTAATATAGAGTCTGGCCCTCATATATACCACTTGACACTTCATGATACCGATTAGAAATTGATAAAGATAGAAATACCCGTAGATCAAGAAGTAGAAAGCGCAGACGCAGTTTTGCAGTTATGATGAGTGCACTCTCTGGTTTTAGGAACTGATTAGTGACATCTCGCTGCTCTGGTTTGTTTCCAACGAATGGATATTAAATTTAGGGCAAAAATAGGATCCTATATTCATTCTGCTTGTATGGTAGTAAAAAGGAGTTAATCTACCTATTAAAATCGCTTGGTTAAATTCAAAATTGTTAAAAATTTAGATATTCAGCAAGAAAATTCAAAATTCGACAAGCGTTCAAAATACCCCAATTAACAATGATAATAATGTAGCCAATGCCAGTAGAAATGTGTTTGAAGGAATCACGGACGGTATCAGCCAAGAGAACGTGAAGTGTAAGACATATTGATTGGTGGAGAGGCACTTCTCACCCAAAATGTAGACCATTAGTAAAAGACATCTATTGGCCAGGTCCAGCCGAAGAAGTCCTGTTCACCGGCCATGATTAATCGATATCTTACAAACTAATCTTCGCTTTGCTTCTGTTACGGCTTGTAGCCTGGAACTATGAAAGCCATCTGGATTGCAACTTCTTTGACACGTGATGAACGTAATCATTAGGGCTCATCCCCTAATTTCAGGTGATTGGACGGCATGTATGCAGGATATGATAGCACCGCATACCTTCGCAGTAAATGCTAGTGCTAGCGAGAGCTCTCGCTAGCAGTTGGGGAGCCCGCGCGGTGCTCCCAGTGCGGTGTCTCCCTAGGACTGCATGCTTCTCACCAGCTTTCCGCGCATCTGCCACTAACTTCCCCTAGTCGCACTTGGACTCGCACTCGCACCCCACCACCCCCATCAACCAGGACGAAAATCTAGCTAAAAAAAATTTGGAAAATTTTGTATTAGAACTAGCAAACCAATCACTTAAAAATGGGTATGTCAAGACCAACAGCAACAGCAACCAGCACGGCAGGAAGAAGGGGCTATATGGTGGATACGAAGAGACACGATCCAGAGATGTTCCAAGCGTTATCCCTTTTCTCTTGAAATGTTGAAGAATCGACTTCTATATTGAACCTATGCCCTTTTTCATACGGAGCAGAGGAAGCAAAGCACAGAGTCCGGCCCTTTCCCCAGCCAGCGGTCTACAAACGCAGCATGTACTAACATTTCTAGGTAGAGTTATTCGTAACCAAAGAAAGGGTGCTGGTTCTATCTTCACCTCTCACACCAGATTGAGAAAGGGTGCTGCCAAGTTGAGAACCTTGGATTACGCTGAACGTCATGGTTACATCCGTGGTATTGTCAAGCAAATCATCCA